CCGCTTTAAGGAGGGTCCGGAGACCGTTGTGTCAAGGGGAGGTTTTGGTTGTGTGATCACTGAGGATGGGGAAGGGGATAAAGAAGGCCCAGAGCTGATGTACAGACACAGGGGCTTCCCATGGATATCCCTGTGCCTCAGTATCTGCTGGATTCTAGAGCAGAACCATAGCCCATGCCATAGTGATGCCAGCTGTCCCCCCTCCACTCCGGCACACGTACATACTCTTGTGAGATCATTAGTTTTCCTTCATTTCCCACCCACAGACCCCCAATCCCTGCCAGTATTCCCTGAATGTGGTGCTAGATATTACTGTGGTATCTCCAGGTGAATTCTCGCTTGCACAAGGTCATACAAGTCGTCTATGGCAAAGCAAAGTGCAGAACCCAGATTTTCTAGCTTCAAGTTCCCCGTACAACCATTAGAACATACTTGTTCAGGAGTATGTATACATCTTAATGGATCATTGCCATGGGGAATGTTGATGAGTAACTCTTGCGTTGCTGCAAACCTTCATCTAGCGAAGCAAAACCAATAGTGAAATGATCTAACAGAAACACACCAGTGACTCCACATTTCGTGTTTGCTGCCTGTCTGCCTTTTGTTAGGCAACCTATGATGCCTGGAATTTTATACGTATGATAGGTTTCAGAGTAGCAGCCGTGTTAGTCTGTATTCGCAAAAAGAAAAGGAGGACTTGTGGCACCTTAGAGACTAACCAATTTATTTGAGCATAAGCTTTCGTGAGCTACAGCTCACTACATCGGATGCAAGTGAGCTGTACCTCATGAAAGCTTATGCTCAAATAAATTGGTTAGTCCCTATACATATGATAATTTGTCTATTTTTGACTTTGAAAGCTACTGAAAGAAACTGAAGAAAGTGTGCAGTAGCACAATATGTAACTTAATACCGTTGATTGCTAGAGTTAATGGTGGAAGATCACTTTTAGGTTCTAGTCTATTCTTAGACAGCTCTCTGCACTGGCCAGGGAAATCATCTTTGCTCCTTTCTCGCATAAGCTATATTTAACATGCTGTTCCTGGGCAGTGCAGACAGGGTCTACATGTTACATTCAAATCCAGGAGGGCAGCAGAAAAGAGTCTAGGACTTGCTGTGTAGAGAAAGCATTGTGAGGACAGAATTGGCAGGAAGATAGGTTTGGTGGTTTGAATTGACTAGGTGTAGAAATGTAGGGAGGTTAATTATAAGCTAAAAATAATTACAGGTTAGAAGCATTAAATAACTGGATGAGGGTATGGGTATTTAGTGTTAGTAATATAGATCAGACAAAATGGTAGGTCTGAGTGAGAATATCATTTGGGCTAATTGGCTAGAGGTAGGTAGGTAGAGGTGTGTGTGAGAGAGAGACACACCACTCATCTCCCCATTTTCTCTCTTTAGATTGTTAGCTTTTTGGGGCAGGGACCTGCCTTATAACGGTCTATACCGGTGAAGCACTAGTACATTTATAAGCATTATAGAAATAAACAATAATGCAATTGTTTTTAAACTGCAGGACAGCACTGAATGGTTTACACACAGTGTACAGGAAACTTTAATTCCTCAAAAGCTCTCTGAAAACAAATAACCCTTTCTTTGATCAAAACTTTTGGCAGTCTCAGTTGTTCTTTCATCTCTGCATGTGAGAGGGAGACTGGAACTATATATATATATCTCATCAGAACTAACAAAGCTTCCTTCCACTCGACTTTGTAGTTATCCCTGCTTGCTGCCTTGATGTTAGGAGAATTACATAAAGCAGATCTCCTCAAAGCCAATAACAAGTACTTAAAAGGGACACTGTCAAGGCTGCTTGCTCCAAAATTTGACCTACTTTCCCTCCTTCTCTGTATTTGTAAAATGCATTTAATTCTCCCTCTGTGTTTTTTCTCAAACAAATGTTTCAATGTTCTTTTAAAGACTCAGCACTGACAAGCAACCCCATAGGAACAGTATGTGCCTATCTAAGGGAGAGGAAGGAATATCAGAAAGGAAACAAGGTTCAGTTTCAGGCTTTCAATAAAGAGGCCAGATTGCCCCCCCCCAAGATCCATTTTCAGAAGTTACTCCTCCATCCCATCAGGCACAGCTCTCACTCTTTGGTTTTGGAGAAGCACTAAATCTCTTCATCTACCAAGAACAAATGGTACATTAATTTTTCCGCAGCACCTCTCCATAGATTGTCCAACCAGGAGTTCTGTGCAGATGGCTCTGCCTTCATGTAGATCCCCTGGGAACTGCACATTCTGGGGCGCAGTTCCCCTCTTCTTTCCACTGGAGGGGTAGGGGGGAAACGGAACCCTTCCTATGCCAATGGAAAGATGTGGGGAACTCTTCTCCTCAGGACCCCTTTCTCTGGGCTTTTCCCACAGGAGTGAGCAACAAAGTTTTATTTTTTAAATGATGAAAATCCCTTGACAATTTCCTTCTAGAGCACCACGACTGCTTCCCCTCTAAAACACAGGGAGCCTGATTCACTTCGTGCCATGCAAGAAAACCTCTAAGCATAAATTGCAAACTCACCAGGGTGCACAGGGTTCATTGGTTTCAATCTAGAATAGATATATGTGGGAATATATGTAGATATCGGTAGGAAGGGGCTTGATTTTGTATAACGGGCCTGTACAGTCCTCATTTGGGATGACTTGCAGATCTTACTCATAGCTTCACTCCTCATGAGTGATGAGGGAACCCTGTAATCACAGTTTCTGGAGTTCACTTGCCATTACATGGAATTAGCTAGGAAAGTTACCAAAATTCAATCTGAAGATTAATACATGTAATACTCCTTTAGATTATTAAGTAGAATTAAAGAGGTGCTACAACTTTCTAATACTGATTACTTTTACCAAACGGGTAACAGCTATCTTTGTTTCAAATATAAGGAAAAAGAACCACTTTGTCTGTGCATGATACACTTAAAATATTTGACTGCATATTCTGTCTTCGTTACATCTTAGAACTCACTGTGAGAGAAAATAGTTTCCCAATATGAACAATTATGACCATAAGGGAAAATATTTGTATCAAATATTTATTGTGATGAACACAATGTATTTGTCCTTAACTTAATATCCTACTGGTATATGTAAACACAGAGCCTGTAAAGGCTATGATAACACATATAAAATAAGTTGTGGCAGGATGGATGTGATAAATAAGCCCTGTAGTAGTCTAGTCTAATTTAATCAAAGATACTAATCTTGATTTACATGACATTTTATTACACATTATTCATTGCTCTTCCCTGAGTACACAGGCAAGACTGTTACTATCTATGGGAAAACAGCTACACTTGGTATACAGAACACATCACTGCCTACTGTAGATTTTACCAGTGCCAATTTTGCTCAACAAAAGAGCAACACAAAACTGTTAATAAAGACTCTCTATATTGAACAAATGCTGCAGACAATGCAAAATGTAGGGGCAGTTATACAGTACTTTACAGCATGGAACCATTTTGGTGTCCTAATTATTTTTCAAGCAGTAATGTACGGGAAACAAAGGTGACATGAATAGTCTCACAGAGTCTATTCATATGAAATAAATCATCCATGGAGTGAGCTTTCTGATCACATTTGACCCTGAAATGCAATTTGACAAATAAGTAACATAATAGAAAGCTCAACAGTTTCTTGCTGAAGTTTCCACTGGGAAGCAGCTGTTCAGTTGATCAGTCAGCCTATAGAAAAGCCTAAACAAGGGAATGAAATGTTATCATCCTCAAGCAGCAGATGTCTGTAAATGCAACTGCCAGACTGGCAAATCTGATTAACTTCATGGAGTTCACATATAAAGCAATGTACAGCAACATAAAATGTAAAATTCCAAACTAGCGTGAGAAACAAATGTAATGAAGAAACTACTAATACAATCGAACTGAACAGACATTAGTCAGAATACCAGACAGTTTAGTGAAGGTGACATAAACCACAATTCCTACATTCCTGATACAAGCAATAAGGTACAGTAACTCAAGCTAGTAAAATGCTTTCACGTTTTCATTTCACTTGCCATCTGCAGACATCCATAGCCTTCTAGTTATTCTGTATGAATAATTTCGATAATATAAACACATTCCCAAGGACTCTGCTTCTTCACTATACTCTTCATGCAAGTTTAAGTAGCTTATTCTCTCTTGAGATATACTCATAGGATCTACAAACACTAGCAGGAGTCACTGCACTTATCAATAGGGAGCCCAGGCCCCTAGCTATATCTAATCTCATGGGAAAAAATGTTGTTAAACTAGTAGAATTACATTTTCCATAATGATCAAAATATTTAGATTGAAGAAAGATGGGACTACATTTTCAAAACATTGCACCTGATTCGGTTGTGCAAATCCTCTATGTACATAATTTGCAACTGAACTCACAATTACATTTCAGCCCAATTACATTTGGGCATGCGAAATCTATTGTGCCCACAAAAAAATGAAAAAGATACATGCATGGTCCTGGTACCATGGCCATCCATTTAAGAATACAACAGCATTTGCAACATAGTTAGGGCATACCTTTCATCCACATATGTAGTCTCCTCTTTAACTCATATCTTTTGTTGTTTGAGGCTTGGAGAGAAGTACATGTTCCCTTCCTACTCCTCCAATGTGGTCCAAAGGTGAGCACAATTTAAAATAATTCTAGTTTTGTGGCTATTCAAGTCTCAAATTGCATGCTTAGTATATGCTCTTAGAAAATCTTACCCATTATGTTGAAGAGAAAAAACCTCTTTTAGTTTCATGTCCAGAAATATTATGATATTGAAATGGTATTTTTTTTAACCAGTCTGTCACACAAACAGAGTACAGTTGTCACACCTATGATACATTTCAACTGTCCCATAAAATCAGACTAATCGGTGCAATGAACATAAAGCGGGGGGGGGAGGAAAAATGACTCAGTTTATAACTGTATGACACAGTAAAAAACAAAACAAAAAAACCCCCAAACCACCATCAACAACAAAAAATGTTACATTTCCACACTTACGGCTATCATAGCATATATTGCCCAGGGCACGTCCTGTCTGAAGCAACACTTCCTGGTCTTTGCAGTTTAAGAGCTGCACCAGTGGAGGGATCAACCCAGCATCCACACATGAGTTCCGCATAAATTCTGCGAACAACAGAGAGATATTTAATTAAAGTCGAGTTATATTGGTTTGATCTTTTCTAGTTAACACAAAAATTCATCTTTGGCAAAAGGTTTTCCTTTCCAGATTCCCATCTTACACAGGCACTGCAGCTGCCTCACTCTATGAAAATAAATGTATGTCTGGCAAAACAATCTAGTTATCAAAAAAGATTCCAGACAAGATGGTCAAATTCAGAATTCTGGCTACGCTTTTCCCATTGCTCATTGATTCATCAGAAATCAAGAGTGTTTTAATTGACTTTCATGGAAACTAATTTAACATCCTCCAAATAATCACTGAGCATGTTTTGAGAGTAATAAATACAAGGAGAAAAGAACAGACTATTGGCAACATTTGTTCTCCACATTTGCAAATTAAACAAAATGTTAACTCCTCTATTAAGCAGATTTAAGACTGCAGCATTCCTCCTCCAAAATGAACAGCCTTATCTGTTTTACTAGATTATCTAAATTAAATATAAGCAGAAATGGAAGCTAAATTTCCAATTACCTGAAAAACAGTTGCTACAAAGGATAAACGCAGGGAACTAACACTGAGTAGCAAGCTGGGTACTGGATATCTCTACAGTAGGGGGGGAATTAGAGAAGTTTAAGAGGCCAAAGTAACTTTTCACAGTCCATACGGCCCCACAATGGGGGGAAAACCAGATGATCCAACCAGTGGCAGATTCTCTTACCCCTATACTCCTTCTCCTGCCATGTACCCAGCTCACAGGGGGCCAGGCTATAATCTTACTTACAACAGTGTCAATCAGGAGTAATTCCACTGGAGCCAACGGAATTACACTGATGTCCGTGAGGTAAGAATTGGTCCTAGGAGTTGGGTTGCACAGGATGCACACCCCATTTGCAGGGCTCCTGCAAATTCAGTCCCTTTCCTTGTACATCAGAACTACAATGGTTCTGCTTCCAGGCAGAATTCCCTGGCTAGCCTGGGGTCCAGATTTACCTATAAACAACTGAGAAATGTAGGCACCAGCTATCCATGTTTACTAATCTTGCAATATCTTTTTTTCCTATGAAAATAACATTAGTGCAGATTTGACCTGTCCGTATGTCCTTACAGACTTTGACTGTCATGTGTCGATAAACAGATGAAAACAGACTTGTATAGGTCAGGTGGAAGACCAATGGCCAGCACAAAAAAACCCTAAAACATAATCTGGCAAAGCTGTAAATAAATGCTATGCTAAGGAGTCTAATGTCAGCACAGTGCACTGTCATGTACAAGATCCGAGATCACATCTGTCAGTCCCTTACATTTATCTATCTTTTCTTGCTTTTGCTATTTCTCATGCCATTTTAATTCACTTCTCTCTTTTCCTCCTTCAGTCTCCCACGTTCGTTTTCATCCCAGTTTTTCTTTATTGGATCTATTGTTTTCTTTCCCCTTCCTCTGCTTCGCCCTTTGGTAGATCCTCCCTCTCTCTTCTTCTCCCTTCCATTGCATACCCCATCCTCTCTCCTCCTCAACTTCTCCCCCCCCCCCATCTGTTTTACCTCCACAAAACCAATTGCTGTCTCCTCTCCACTGAAGGGAAGGTTTTCTCTCTTAGCTTCACACATTGTGTTTGGGGGTGGGAGGAATAGTATTTCATTCTTCACCCCTTCCTACGGAAGAGGAGTAGATTTCACTGTCACTCCCCACTCATGTGAGAAGGGAAGACAAACAGAATTCATGGCCCCCTAGTTGTAGTGAGGAATAGACTTCACTTCAACTGAACAAATGTAGTGAGGCGTGGGGTGGAAGGAGCTGCTGGCAGCAGTACTACTGGTGTGCAACCCCACTAGAAGATGAAGCAGGTCCCCTGGAGGCCTTGAATCACATTAAAATACCTAACAGAACATAGCTGCCGTGTTACATAGTTGACCAGAGACTGAGGCCTCTTACATTGACCTAATTATGTCGGCATACACGTTATAGTCTTGTCCCCCTGAAATTGGCTGTCTTGTCTATTTCAGGGCTCCATGTGGGCTGCCCCAGCTCCTAGCCAGGCTGCTGCCCAGAGGCTCCCTACGCAAGGAGGCGAGAAGCCCCAGGAGCCAGCCACCCCTTCCTGCCAGGGAGCTGCGAGCCCCCACCCTGCCCTTCTTCAGGTGGTGGAAGTGCTCCTGGTGAGGACACACATCGCTGACAGAAGGAGGATAGTGTGGACATCAACAGTGGTTAACATAGGTCAACCTACGTTTGTAATGTAGACGTACCCTGACTATGAAGATCCCAGCAGTTGAAGACAAACAGGTTATAGTTTGTTTCTTTTAGGGAGGTAACGGAGTAAGCTTATTGTGCAATCCCCAATTCCACAAACCTTTCTGAAAAAATATTTTCAGTAAATTCCATCTTGAGGTAAAGCACAGCCGTTGTGAAATCCATGAAGAGCGCACACATGCGCCCCTTTGAAACACTGATTTTACGATTGCAGAGGAGGAGACCAAAAGCTCATTCTGGAGCTTTCATACCACAGTTGACAATGTGACTTGACTGTTGAAGAGGAAGAAAGTGCTAGTGGTTATTTATTATTTGTATTACCACAGCCTCTAGGAGCGCTAGTCATTGACCAGGACTCCACTGTGCTAGGCGCTGCACAAACACAAGACAAAAAGATGGTCCCTACCCCACAGAACTTAGAATCTAATATAAGACAAGAGACCATAGATGGATACAGACAGGTAGATGGAGAAGTACAAGGAAACAATGAAATAATATTGGTCAGCATGATGTGCAGTGGTATCAGCACACCAGCATCTGAACTGCTGTCAAGTTTTTTGTAGGTAACAAAGCAAAGGAGAGTTTTAAGGAGGGATTTGAAGGAGGATAACTAGGTAGCTTTGTGGATGTTTACAGGGACTTCTCCCCAATGCGTGGGGTAACGTAAGAGGGGTATGAAAGTTCTTGATTGAACATATAACAAATGGCTGGCAACATAGGTTGATCAAAGGTGAGCTTTGACTATTCAATAGCAAATGAGAGACAATACGTAGGATGGAGGCGGAGTCTGAAGGTCCTTAAAAGTGAAGACAAGCAGCTTATGTTTGATAGGAGAGGGGTGATGTGGTCAAAGTGATGGTCTAAGAGAACAGTTTCTGAAGCAGCATTCTGACTGGATATGAGTGAGGAAAGACTGTGAGATGATGACAGCCTGGATAAGAGTTTTAGCTGCGTGGAAGAACAGGAGAGGCGATATTTTCAAGATATTATGCAGAAAGAAATGGCAAGGACTTAGACGCAGCCTGGATGCGAGGATCTAAAGAGAGGTACAAGTCAGAGATGACACCTGGGTTACGAGCCTGCATCTCAGGCAGGATGGCAGTGTTGTCCATAGTGATAGAGAAAGCAGGCGGTAGGCGGGGCTTGGTGGGAAAGATTAAGAGCTCTATTTTATCCAAGCTGAGCTTGAGCTCATGGCAAGACATCCACAACAAGATGTCAGACAGACAGGCTGAGATTTTAGCTTGGGCAGAAAACAGGTCTGGCAGAGAGAGGCAGATCTGAGAGACGTCAGCATAGAGTTGGAGGCTGAATTTGTGTTCGCAGATGAGACTACCCAGGGATAAGGTGCAGAGGGAGAAGAGTAGGGGGCTGTAGCAAGACAAGGACTCACTGGTATGGCGCCTCCTGCTGGTCGTCCAGGGAAATAGCTCTCCAGCATATGGAGCACACTCTGCAGGCTGGTGTCTCACCTGCCGCTGGTCCCGTGTCCCTCCTGGACCCTGGTGTCCTTTACCTCGGGGTTCTGCCCCAGCAGTACCCCCTCACTCTGGGTCTCCCCTCCCAGGGGAACCCCCAACCCACTAAACCCACCTTGCCTCAGGGGCTACTGTCAGTCATCAGCTCACCCCCACTCACTGGGGTAGACTGCAGTGTAATGGCCACTCATCGTTGGCAAGGGGTTAGCACCAGCTGCCTCTGCCTATTCCCAGGCTGCCCCTCTGCAGCCCCAGTACCTTTCTGCGCCTTTAACAAGGCCTGCAGTCTAGGGGTTTACCAGGCTGGAGCTTCCAGCTCCCTTTGCCCTTCCCCAGCACTGCTCCACTTAAGGTACATCGCTCTCAGGCAGCCAGCCTTCTCCCCCGAGGGCAGGAGTGAGACTCCTCCAGCTTCTGGCCCACAGCCCTCTTATCAGGGCCTGCCAGGCCTGATTAAGAAAGCCACTCCTGTGGTCAGCTATATAGTCAGCTTCCCCCAGAGGTTCTTAATCCCTTTTCCCACCTTTTCCCAGCTGCAGCTCTCTCCAGGGTTGCTTTTACTATTGGCTCTCCCAGGGCTGTTTTAACCCATTCAGGGCCAGAGCTGGATGACCACCCTGCTACAGGGGTCATGGGTAGAGTCTTGTGGAACCTTCACAGAAAGCTGGAGGGGGCGTTGAGGAGGATCCTCCAAAGGACACACTGAAGGAGCAATTAGAGAGATAACATAACAGAGTCCTGGAAGCTAAGCGGGGACAAGATCTCAAGAAGAGCGTGGCTGATGGCATCAAAGGCAGCTGACAGGTCAAGGAAGGTGAAGACTGAGTTCTGGGTGTTGGCTAGAAAGAGGTCATTGGAGACTTTGGCGAGAGCGGTTTCAGTTGAGTGCATGGGATGTAAGCAAACTGGAGAGGGTCTAGGACTGGAGGAGAGGACTCCAGACAGTGAATGTAAACAGTGCATTCAATGAGCTTAGAGAAGAAAGGGAGAAAGGAGATGGAACTGTAATTGTAGAGGCAAGTGAGGTCAAGGGTAGAGTTTTTTTTTAAGATGGGAGAACTAAAGCATGCTCGCATTTTGAGGAAAAAGAGCCAGAGGAGAATAAGAAGATAAGGAGAACAGTAAGGAATTGGATGTGAGTGGCATGGGCTCAGTGGAGTGTTTGGAGGAGAAAAGCAGATAAGAAACTTGGGTGTCTGTGACAGAGAAGAAAGAGGAGAGAGTTGTAGGATGGGAAGGGGGAAAGGAAGGCAAATTGAGGGAGGGGGGAGTTCATACGGTATTTTGTCAATTATTTCACTGACTATAAATTTTTCAGTTAACATATTAAAGGCAGAAAAGGTATGCAATAGGGTTTGGTGGATTTATCTATATGGTTTGGAACATTTTTATTTTGGGAAATAATTTTGCAATATAGTTAGATTGCTATATGCAGATTTTTGGAGGCTTAAACTATTTACAGATTAGGTAATATATAAATAATTTTTCAATCTCTCAAGGTACAAAATACTTTACCTGTTTGCCTTTTTTTAAATGCCGTCTCTGAACCTTCAGATGTCATATTAACTCAAAGCAGCAGAAATAACAGGAATTACTGTTGTGGAGTTTAAAAGGATGGTGTATACAGATTGTGACAAACTGGGGAAATGTTTGTATTATTTTTATGAGTATTATGTATGACTCAATTTCCTTGTTCAATTTCGTATTGCTGCCTACCTGAATGCATAGCATTAACTCAAAGGAGGCTGTAAAGGGATTGTTTGAGAACCCAGAAAAGGTAAAACGGTGACAGATAAAAGAGCTTCTCAGGTACCCAGCTTCAAAGGAGTTAAGATAACAATGACTGGGCCATCAGTTGGGGAAAGAAGTTACTTACCTGGATCCAGCCAAGCTAGAATATTCCACTACTCCCAAGGCTAAGCCTAGGATCAAAGGGTACCACACAGCTCAAATACCCTAGAAAAGGGGAGAGGTTTTTTTGTGTGAGCTGAGAGATACTGACCAGGATGCATCAGTGAAAAGGCTGACAATGCTTCAGTACAGGTTGTTTCTGCATGCCAGAGAGGTAAGTTCGCCAAGATGATGAGAAACTTATCAAGATGTAAGTAGTACGCATGTGAGTAGGCCTTTCATTGTGTTTGGGGGGGTTTGTTTGTTTTGCTCTACCTGCTTGGCAGGTTTGGGTGATGAATAAATCATGCTTTGTTTTGAAGAAGCTGTATCACTGCAAACACAAGCTGTCACAGACTAAGAGAAAAAGGGCTTGCAGGTTCTAAATGTAAATAGTCATGGTTTCCTGGTCTAAGAGTGGGTGAACTGCAGAATTCAACCCCAGGAGAGATAAAGGCCCAAGGCCTGATACCTGTCGAAGTGCATTCAGTGAGACCCTGAGAAGGGGCAGCAGTAACTGTGACACAGATTATTTCTGGTATATATCCAGATAACAACAGCATGCTTAGAATATTAGATCTAATTGACAGCTTTAATAAAATAAATTGGCACAACTTGATTGTATAGAGCACATTTTTTCTAAATGGAATTTTAACTGAGCGGAAAAGAAGTTAAATGTTTGGGATTACCACAGAAAATATAACAATTTGGTCAAACTTGCTATGGATCCCGACGTTAAACAAATACAGTAAAGAGTGACTTGGAGAGAGCCAGATTTATTTCTCTTCCAAAGTATGAACATTAACAGAATGCGAACCGTTACAATTCAAATTGGGCAAAACGAGCAAATCAACAACCTGTCTCCACACAAGAAACCAGTTCATCAAATTGTTAATTCCCCACCTGAGCTCCAGAAAAAGCTGGATCTGAAAGAGCCTATTATCTACTAGAAGTCCTCTTCTAGCCTCACACATCAGATTCAGTCACGGGGGAGCTATGCAGGAACTGGGACTGCTGACTCCTTCAGTACCTGGATTAAATGTATCCAGACAGGGCCACTGTCAATCTTTACCTATTCCCCTGGTCCCACTGCCATCCAGGATCCACCTAAGAGGGCAGAGGATGCACTATGTTGAGTCAGCTCCCTTCAGCAACTTCCCTTCCAAAGGAAAAATAGAAGAGGGAGATAGACTCACAATCCAGTGTCTTCCGAAAGAGGAATCTGCGTGAGAGATCTGCAGAAAGGATGGGATGATTTGCAGTCGATAGCGTCTCACCAGTGAAACTCCTTGGATGGGAGTGGAGCAATTTTCAGGGGTTGAGGGCGGTCAATTGCGTCTCCTTTACTATTCCTTCTAGAGAGTCTTGGCAGTGGCTCCTGCCTGCAGACCTCCAGCACTCATTCCACTTCCTCCCCAGCTGAGGGAGTCCACAGGGTTACACAGAGCAAGGTGCCTTGTCCATCCAGATGCATATATTTGTATATATTTATATATTTAAATAAATAACTATACAAAATTCTATAATGATCTGGCTAAATAATGTGCTTGTTTGTAGATCTGTCACTTCTTGCATCACCTTGGATCCAAAAAATCATTATAAAAAGTTTCCCATCCCTACAGTACAAATCGAACAGCACTGAGTTGAAGTGGAGCTGAAAGAATGTGGAGGGGCTTACAGGGGCCCTCTGCTCCGGATCAATTTCACCCATGTTGGAATGGTTAGAGTCCATGAACTATTCTTTATAAAGAAAAAATAATTTTAGAAGAATTTCTAGATTATTTTTCAAATATATGTATGTTGTATGGCACCTACCACAAAGATCCCTGATCCTGAGTGAGGGCCTTTGGCTGCTACTGTAACAGAAATAATTATCTCTATTTTCAGAGTGACTGATCCTACTATTTTGTCACAGGACTTGAAAGGGGTAATAATGTTGTCACTGGTCCCAGTCCTAAGACGTCATTCGTATGTTCATTTACCACACTTGTACAATCTATTGCGGTAATTGTGTACACAAACATTTCTGTACATGCATTTCTGAAAATCTTAAAGCCTTAATATTTTTTTGCCTATTAAAAATTTAAATTAAATTTTTAAATTTAAATTAAAAATTAAAAATACACAATAGATTTTTAAAAATTACATATAACACAAAAGTAAAGACTGAAAACTCCTGAAAACAAATGCTGTTCTGATGGATTAGCAAGGGGATAAATGCACTCTAAACAAATCTAGTGGCAACAAAATATTGACAAGACAAAAACAGAAAGGATGAAAGAGAGACAGATGAAAAATCTCTAATCTACAAAATGAAAACATAAATGAAATAAAACATACTGACAAGTGAGGTGCAAAACTGAAGATGTTCCAGCAGAAAAGTTCTTGTGGAAAACCTCACCATTTTTGGCTACTTCTGCTATGATGTTAGCTACTTTTGCCGTGCAGGAAGACTGTGGAGTCAACAGACTTGCAAACACCTGAAGAATCCCACTTTTTTGGATTTTTTCACTTGTCTCGGTATCTGAAAAACACATCAAAACAAAAATATCACTTGCATAATAAATTACAACCTCTTTTTTAAAAAAGAGGGGAGAGTAAATTTTGAAAATGTGCACACATAAAAATTTAACTTAAATCTAGACCTTGCTTAAAGGTAAGTCTCATGGCAACTACCGTGCTATATACAAGGCAGAGCTTGATGTTTTAGTGTTCATCTAACAGTGTTTATCTAACAAAATGTTTCAAAGCACTTAATATCAGTTAATCCTTACCAAGCAACTATGTGGTAACTAAAAATGTAGGATTATCCTCATTTTACAAACAGATGAGGAAACTAACGCAGAGAGCGATAAGAAAATCCTGATGAAAGTTTAGGGGACAAAAAGGTCTGTGGAAGTCCAATATCAACAGGCAAGTCTAGACTACTGGTTAAGTCGATCTAGTTTACATCGCTATAGGGTGTGAAAAAGACACTCCCTGGAGCAACACAAGTTACAGCGACCCAAGCACTGTCCACACCAGCACTATGTTGACAGCAGATGCTCTCCCGCTGACATAGCTTCTGCCTCCCGCAGAGGTGGAGTAATTATGCTGACGGGAGAGCTCTCTCATTTTCACACTGATGTAGCACTTCTAGTGTAGACTGCTCTATGTAACAACAAACAGGTGGTACACTGAGCTGACCAATCATGGGGCAGGTCCACTTAGTACAGAAATACAGGTGGAAGAGATACATTCCTCTTGGCGCAGCAGAAAGCTACGTAGTCAGTGCACACGTCTGAAAGTGTGGGGTAAGGAGAGAGAGAATTATGCAGACGTTGGTCTTCTCTCCCACTCTCCATACATATTGGTGTGCTGAGAATTACTGTGCTAAGGCAGCAGTAACTCCTCTTCAGCCCCAGTGGAAGGGACAGAAGAAATGAAATTTGGTTCTCTATGCTGAGTTGGGGATAGGGTGACCAGATGTTCCCATTTTATAGGGACAGTCCTGATATTTGGGGCTTTTTCTTATATAGGCTCATATTACCCCCTACCCTCATCCCGATTTTTCACACTTGCTGTCTGGTCAGCCTAGTTGGGGATCAAGTGTTTCAAGGAGGACTCTCTTCCCCTTCCTTCCAGTTGTCGAGGGACATCTGTATACTGACAAGGACCACCTTCCATCCTTGGATAATAACCTATTGAAAAACAGTGGTAATTCTCATAGGGATTAAAGCAAGAGGTACTACATACTAAGTATGTGAGTTTTTTTCCTACTGTCAAATGTTTTTACATTTCAGATTAACATGAGTGCCACACACACATGATTAGATGGCAATTGTTATTTTGTCATTTTATAAATGCAATGGGACTTCTGTTGTATTTTATCATTCATGCTAAAAGTTACTGCATTCTTTAAGAATGTCAGATGAGATGCAGTAATTGATGTTCTTGTGCAAAGCAGAACAAATCCATCTGAACTCAATCTGCTGTTTTAAATCTCTCCCTCTCTCATGGGTGTCTTGCAAATACTACAAGATATGCAACCACAGGTGCCAGCTTCCAACTTTCCCACAGGGGTGCTCAACCCCTGCTCAGCCCCAGGCCCTGCCCCTACTCCACCCCTTCCTCCAAGCCCCCACCTCCGCCCCGCCTCTTCCCATCCAGTTCCGCCCCTCCCCCGAGCATGCTCCATCCCCACTCCTCCTCCTCCCCCCCAAGTGCCTTCTGCACACTGCAAAACAGCTGATCTGTAGGGGGTGGGAGGCGCGGGGAGGAGTTGATTGGCGGGGAAGCCAGTGGGAGGCAGGCACTGGGGCGAGCCTGGCTGCGGGAGGGTGCTAAGCACCCACTCATTTTTTTTCCATGGTTGCTCCAGGGCTGGATAGCATTCGTTTTGGCCTGTAGGGGGTTGATAGTTCCTTGACCCACCTGGTGTCCAAAGAGTGACTTCTCATCTTTAAAATGGTGATAACATCTGATTACTACTGAACAGGGATTAATTAACTAATATTTATACAGCACTTTCAACAGCAACACATAACATAAGTGCTAATTATTATTATTCATCTATTTACAAGTTTACACATTAGTTGCGAGTTTTCAGATATGCGGAACCTTATGTCATCACAAGAAAATGTTAATGATCCATTTGGAAGATGTTACAAATAGGCCAATTCTGCACACATTTTGCAGGTAAGTTCTTGAATGGATGCACGGATGAAAGAGACGATTTACACACACAATGCACGTCAATGATGAAAAGAGTTCCAGATAGTAGTTTCATTTGTATGCACGGGATAACAGACCCCTTTGATTTCAGCTGCTAAAGTACAGTAAAACGTATCTGGAAATGTGGAGTTCTACTGATCTGTACAATGTGAGCCACAATTAGTAGGCAGGAGGCATTAATGTGGTTTCACCTGACACATTGCTGAGATATACAGTATCCAGTCTTATTTTTATGGCCTTCCGTTTGAAGGACTCATTACTGTGCAATGTATAAATTACATACATAGAATAAAATATGTCCTGTGACCTGCAAGAAGTGGGGAAATAAAATTAAATGGTGCTTCAGGCAAGTTGTATGAAGCAAATACGCTCTGATTTATTTGATTGAGATAAGCAAGTGAGTACCAATAAAAATACACTCCTCAGCTTACTAGACTTCTGCTGGAAATCTGAATATCAGCTGCAGAGAATGCAAACAGAAATAGCACCTTGGTCCTTCTCTTGCTATGGAGCGTTATTGAAGCCACCACTGTATCTCCTCTCCCTTTCAAAAACAAAATGCCTTCATCCCCACATGCACTAGCTCCCATGACCCAGGTAGAGTACTGACACTACAATTTCTCAAGCACAAAGGCAACAGTAGAGGCTAGTTATCATGCCCAGCAGCACTTCCAAGCTACCAGGCGGCATGGCCATGCCTACCAATCCACCCCACTTTGCTAGTACCTGCCACCAAGCGCTGTGGGAAATGCATGCTCTACTTTCATCACCGAGCGGAAGGAAAGCTATATAACACACACGACTTACAGCACTCCCTGTGGCACTTGGCCTGCAGCTGCACTGTGCATATAGAAAGCACAGAGCATCTCCACGCATCCACTGCAGCTCTCAGCAGACCCCACCCTCAGTCCTCCTCATAATTTAGCCCGGTGTACAGAGTATATCAACTCATCTGAAGACGCGTAGAGTCCACTGTATTGGGACAGTGAACTTTAAGCAGAAAACATATTGATCTAGAAAAATGGCAGATGTGTTTATTGTGCACCCTCTGTATAAGGAGTCCCCAAATGGTAGGTCAAATGCATATCACATCACGCACATATCTCGAGAGTAAAGAGTCCTTTTTACACCTTCATAATAAGCTCAGTTTTTCAGAGATTTAGAGTTCATCAGATTCACATTCTAATATAAACATTTAGGGGAAAATATCAATGGACTGCAGCATGGGACTAATTTTTAAAATTAAATTGCTTTCTTAAAACATTTGGAATTGGAAAGATACTTCAGCTGTTAAAAGAATAACAACTTTTGGTAGGGCTTTGAAATACTATGGGAAATTGTCTGACCTCACGTAAAAAGGTGGTTTATTTATAACCCTGAAAATGCCTGCTTATTTCCAGTACTCCTACTCCAGGCTTTACTATTCCTTTTGTTCCTCAGAAAGAAGGATTAAGCCACGTGTAAGTTACAACATGGTTCTGGCAGACAGGAGACGGAGGTGCCAATGGAGAAGGTCTCCAATCAGCTCTTACTTGTCTGCTGGGCAAGGTATCCCACCTCAGAAGAGGCAGCAGCTGGTGGGGGAACTGGCAGTAAATAGCTGTGGGAGAAAGAGACAAGAAGGGCTTTTCTGAGGGGTGGCTTTAGATGCAAGTGTCAGACAGGAGGAGCTGTCAGGGAAAGGAGGAAATATTTGTGATGCAGCGCTTCAACGAGGCAAGTTAGCTCATGGCTTAACTTTCGAAGCTGTGTTAAGATTCTTATTATTGGTTGCTGTTGTAGGCCCCGCCTAGCCTGTGGGATGCACTGTAACTTTGGTCTGAGCTGTAGAGGACTGCAGCTGCAAGCTAAATTAAAAAAAATCAACATACATAGTTTTCCTTCCCTCTTGGGTTTCCCTCTAATAACCAGCGGCTGATGTGGTGAGGGCTAGGGACCTCAGGAAGCATGGAGTGAGTGGCTGATGAATCTCACCAGCCAAATCGATGCCTTATAGCCTCCCAAGATTGATATGGCAGCAGACATCTGCAGAAGAGTGGAAGGGAGTCAGACATGATGAATGACATCTGAGAGTCCTAAAAGGATAAGTTGGATTGTTTTATTTGTTCTGGGGTCATATAGCCTATTATACGTATTTATGTAGTGGTATTGCCAGGGTGATTTTAAATGCTGCTAAACGTTTGGTTTTTTTTTCCCCCTTGCAGAGTCTCAGCCTTTGGGAAATGATGCTCCCACAGCTAGCGGAGGCTGATGTCCCCACAGGGCCATGCAGAGTAAAGGCCTGTCTTCACCTACTGGGGCAAGTCAACCTAAGTTACGCTACTCCAGCTACGTGAATAACGTAGCTGGAGTCGACGTAGCTTAGGTCGACTTACCGCGGTGTCTTCACTGCACTGTGTCGACGGAAGATGCTCTCCATTTGACTTCCTTTACTCTTCTCAGAGAGGTGGAGTACCGGAGTCGACCTCTGCCATTGATTTAGTGGGTCTTCACTAGACCCGCTAAATCGACCCCTGCTGCATCGATTGCAGCAGCATCGATCTCCCTGTAGTGAAGATCAATCCTAAGAAGAATATTTCGTATTATTTGAGAACTGTAAAAATGCTAACAGTTTAAACATATGTAATAACCTCCCCCTTTCTTATTTGTTCCTTTGGCAGGCGTTGGAGAAGACCAGCCTGGTTTTCTATGTTGAAGCAATTATTATTTGGTTACCGTGAGTGTACTGCCTGCCACCTGGGGAATGATCCAGGAGGCCCTGTCCTGCCCTGGGGATGGAGTTATATAAACAGGAACAGAAAACAGAGCAAG